CTCCCCTCCCCTTTGTACTCAAACCAGATCTGAATTCCTAAATAGTTTTAAGGATCTAGGTTGAAAGTGTATTGCATGAAAAAAAAAAAAAAAAAAAGGATAATCCTCTGGAACTGCTCTTAGCTAATGAGCTTTTTCTGGACATGGAGGACAGTCATCTAATAGGTGGCAAATAATCTTCAGGAGAATGAGGACAGCCTAGATTTCAAGAATAGCATAGTTGTATATAAATGCAAGAGATTTGGAGCTTTTTTAAGTCTGAAAGAGCAAAGTTTGTCAGGTAACAGGGCAGTTCAAAGTCGAGGAGCCCAGACTAGCTGAGAGGAGGGAGCACAGCAGCAGCGCCAGGTGGGTGCTTCCAGCCCCATACTGCATAGGCATGGATTTTTAGGGTATTAAATTGTGAAGGTAAATGTGTGCCTGTTTCTCAGGAGCACTCAGTCTTTGTTAAACTGATGTAGTTTATTAACCCCCCACTCAGTGATGCTGTCCCTCCCTTAATTAACTAGGTTTTCAAAGCCACTGAGTGCTTTGGGCTATGCCAGAGCCACATGGGCCTTTAGCAAATGAGGGATTATCTGTGGATGATAATTTCCAGACAAGGTGCTGCTGAATATTTCTAACTTTACTCTCCTGATCTTTCTGCAGAGGCTTTGCTCACCTCATTATGGTGTATCTGCCAGGTTCAAGGCTGTGTGGCTTTTGACTTCCTGAAAAACAAGCCTTAGTGTGCTGGAAGCTTCCCTGCACAGCTCTAGTGGCTTTTGGGGCAACATGTTGTCATGCTGGGGTGTTTCAGGAACCTCAGGGAGCCCCCCACATCTGCTGGGGAACATGGATGTGAAGGATGCTGTGCTCCCACCCACACGAGTCATGGCCAAGTGTGTGATGCGAACCTTGGCTTTGCAATGGAGCTTAACACCAGCCCATCCCATGGTAACACTGGGTGGGTTTTGCCAAGGACTTTTTGGAGAAAAAAAGGGGTAAAAAAAAAGATGTATTTTACAGAAGAAAATTGTGGTAGCAACAGACCTGATCAGATTTAATTATTTTGGTAAGCAACAGTGACAGTGTGCCAGGCTGGCTGTGGCAGCACAGCTGTCTGGAGGAGCCCAGCAAAAACCTTCCTGCTTGGCCAAACCAGGGAAACTACAGGTGACCCCAGGGAATCTGGGAGCCATTGACACTCACCCCGAGCTTTAGGTGGTGTCACCTTCACTCAGTTGTGGAGACGCAAAAGCAAACGTCAGCCTGTGTGCCCTGCTCCCGCGTGCAGCAGGCACAGAGAGGGGAATCAGCAGGGCCAGATGGCAATGGAGCAAGATTTTACAGACTTCTAGCTACATCCCTCAAGCTCAGTGGGTTTGTCAGAAATGGTTAATCATACTCCAACTGGGCTAAGTAGAAAAAAAAAATAACTTCTTTTTTCTTTTTCAATCATGTGCCTCAGAGTGTATTGGACTTTTGGAGCCCATATAAAAAATCAAAAGGGTTTGGAAACTGCATTTGCATTTATTGCTGAAATTTGTACCAACTCTGACTTTCCTAGAAAATGTGATCTGACACCTTTCTGTGGTGCTGGTGAAGGGTCCATCAGAGGGGAGCATCACCCGAGAGACTCTTTTCTCCTCTGTTGCCCATCTGTTCCAATTCCAGTGCTGCATTAAAACTGGGGTGCATTGCAGGGATGCAGACATGCTCTGCAGTGAGAACCAAATTTTGAAGAGTTGCTTCCAGCAGCAGAACCATTGTGTGAACAAAGGAACAGTGCCTGGGATTTTAATAGAAAAATTGCATGTGCAGAGTGCTGCAATTCTGCTGCAAGGAGTCTCTGAACTTGTTCTGTTACCCCTGGGGAGAGGCAGCAAGCAGGGAAAGGGGAAAGGCTAGGGATTAGTTTTTTACCATTTGCTGATCAATCCAAGCTCCTGCTGCACAAGAGCAGCTCAGCTGTACTGGAGCTGACAGACATTTGTTGTGCTTTTAATCACTGACAGTGAATTAAACTGCATATATTAAATTCCAATTATACAATAACCTGCAGTTACAGTGTCATATTCGTCGCTGTAAGCAATACTCCTATCCAGCTTAGCAGGTTTGTTTTGGAAAACATGGAGAAATCTGTGAAGTTCTAAGAAAAGGCTGTTATTTATATATTTCAGGTTGATAGTCTCCCCCAGTATGCCAGACACCCAGCAGGGATTGCAGCTGAGCTGTGCTGGCTTTTACCAGGTGAAGATTTCAAGACAACCTGGAAATGTTCAATAGCTGTGTGTATAAGGCTCTTGGGAATATCCTTTAGTAGTGAACATGGTGGTGTTGGCTTGTTCTTGCTCAATGATTTTAGAGTTTTTTCCCAACCTTAATAAATCTATGATGGGGCTTTTTTAACAACAAATCATGGGTCCAGATGTTACCACGCCAGGTCACCAACCCTGGGGAAGGTGTGTGGTGTGCAGGAGATGCTCCTCCACCAGCTTTCCCTGCCCACCAAAGCCATGTCAACGATGGAGCTGAGCTTTTCCTTTGCTTTTATTGCAAGACCAGCTCAGCAAAAATCAAGTTTTCTACTCGTGATTAACTAACACTCCTAAAGAGCAAAAAACATACACAAGACTCTTCCCTTTGGATGAATATTTCCATTTATTCCAACTGGAAAAACATTTTTTTAAATATATTTAAGTATCATTTATTTTTTTTTTCTTTTTAAAGGAATAATAATTATCACATTGTCCTTTACAAACAACAAAAAAATTCCTAGCAATAGTCTGTGGTATGGAGACATCCATCTTCCAGATTTTTCTGCATCTGCTGCTTTGAGTAGGCATGGGGGTGTCCCTGTGTGTGCCCAGGGCTGCCAGTGCCATCCCTGCAGCAGGATCCACATTCCCAGGGTGCAGAGAGGGGCTGGCCTCAAGGTGCAGGGACACCCTGAGGTGCCAGCAGCACATGGGGCGAGGGCAATGCACCTGCTTAAGCTCTCAGCCCTCCTGAGGCTCAAAGCCCAGCCTTATCTTAACCCCCACAGGTGCTTTGGGTGCCCAAACTTGCTCCTTTCTGGGAAGCACTGGGACAACCTGGCCTTGGCTTGCAGCTGGGACACGCTGGGATGGCAGAACCCCAATGGATTAAAGCACACAGAGAACAAACTCACATCCACCAGAATACAACACAGCTGAGCCCTATGTAGGGGTCCTCTGCCACGGCGAGGGGCTGTCCTGGCCCTGGGGCTGAGCCCCCCGGGGGACAAGCCCTGGCCACAAACAGCCCCAGAGGGGTGAGGGCATCTTGCCAGGCAGGAGGGGCCCATGGGGAGCAGTTTGCAGGTGTTCTCATATGTCTTAGGCAGGAGGCAATACTGAGACTTCCACTTGGTAATGAACAGCAGTTAACATAACCCAGGAGACTAGAGCACCATAAGACAAGTCTATATTCAAAACAACGTCATGCTGACATCACACAATTGCACCATTTACACTTTATTTACTCCAAATAATAGTTCAATGTTTAGTAACTTCAGCGTTCTCTACAGAGGTGTGAAATTCCTTCTCCAGCTTTGGTAATTTACAATGTTGCAGACATTTGGTAGTTCTGGTCTTTCCTATTTAATAATAATTAAAAAAAAAGGTCCCTTTTGCAGCTGTCAGGGGTTACTGTATCTGACTGATGGAGTGTACCTGCAAATCACAGGCTTAAACATGCCACTGAGGCTTGTCAAGATTTAATGGATCAAAAAACATTCTGTTTATTGATCAGGATCAAAACAAATGAACAGAAAAAAAGGGTTAAAACAAAAAAAACCCTTCAGAACCAATGAAAACTCAGACTGTCACTGATAAAACTTAAGGAGTTTGATGATGAAATGGAAAGGGAGGTCCAAAGTACTGTTTGGTTAGCTGTGACTGAAAACAAATCTGAATGTGCATGCATTTTCCCAGTGACTCCTAAGATATAGAAATTCCTCTGATATTACAAAATACAAAAATATTTTCTCCAAACTCTCATTTACATCGCATTTACAACAATCATGGAAATAACTTAGGCTCCCACACTGTCCAAGAGACAAATCACCTACCAACATGGCTAATGGAAAACAAAAATGTGGTGGAAAGCAAAAGCTACCAGCAAACTGATGCTGAGAGTCAACAGTGGCAACCAAAACGTACGGACAAACAGAGCTCAAGGGGGTGGCAGTATTTGGGAGAAGGAAGAGAAACTACTGGGTAAATATTACAGACTAAAGTGAACTCTCAAAATTTTTATCTCCAAAGTAAGATGTGCAAAATATATTCACTGTGCCCAGGATTATGACTATTTATAGAAGCCGGTCTACAACCTTCTTACAAATCCCTACTCTTCGGGCCTTTTTTTTTTGTTACAATAAAAGCACTTACATGATCTAAAACAGTGCAAGATCGTGAGTTAATTTACATTCTCCCAAGGTGCCTGGCAAGGATGCCATTAGGATATGATACAGTTCTTGCTCTTCTGTCTTTTCCGGCTGTGCAACTGTCCCCTGGCCCCCACCGTGGAAGACTTGGGCATGCTGTACGAGCCGTACTTGTGCAGCAGCTCCTCGCTGGTCACGTACCGGAGGCGGGCAGGCTGCGGAATCGGCTCCCCGAGGAAATAGCCCTCATTGTCGGACTCCGAAGAGGAGGAGCAGGTGGAGCACCAGTCGTACTCGGCAAAGTAGGGCCCCCATCTCTCGCCCAAGTGGTTCTGCAAGGCAAGATCCGACACCGTCCGGGGACAGTGGCCGTAGACATCCCTGTAGGGACCCTGCTCCATCGTCTCCCTGCAGCTCCTCTGGTGCACGAAGGGGTCGTAGTCGTCCCTGGCTCGGAGCGAGGGTCTCTCCTTCAGGCGGTAGCACTGCTCGCTGGCCAGGTGCAGGGCGTTGTCCGAGCGGGAGCGCCGGGAGCGCCGGGGCCGGTGCGGGCGGTAGTGCCGCTCGTCATCCCGCAGCACGGTTCTCCGCCGCGTGCGCTCGCTCATGGGCGCGTGCCTCGGGATCTCCTGCGCCCCCAGCTTGCCCCCGGGCACCCCGCTGCCGTAGTCGAAGCTCTGGTGCATCCGCCCGTGCGACGGCCGCTCTTGGTAGCCGAGGGGGCTGGCGAGGTCGTGCAGGGTGGGCTCCATGTCCTGGTACTGCTGCACCGACAGCAGGCTGCGCACCGACTCGGCGCTGCGGAACTGCATGGAGGAGTTCAGGGTGCCCATGTTGCTCATCTTCTCTGAGACATTCATGCCCGAGTCTTTGCTCAGGTCAGGCATAGAGAATCTGGAGAGGTGCTCCTGGCGCTTGGCTCCACCGTCTGCTGAGAGGCCTTTGCAGGAAAAGGGCAAAGGGAAAAAAAAATAGAAGAAAGAGAATTTTCTGTCAGTGGAGATATGGGATGGAGGCTGGTTTTGGCCCGAGACTTTTGCTTTAAAAAGGAGCTCGGTGGTATCAGTCCTGTCCTGAAGAGCCCTTTTTAACAGGAGGAGTTTCAACTTTTTTTAAAGAGCAGGCAGGTCCTCCTTTGGGGAAATCACACCAATTTAAGGTGTTTTGAGTTGGACTCCAAGCTGCTTTTCACGACTTCCTTTCCCATATGTCTACACTGTCTGCAACTTGATAGGAATAACCAACGATGCCAGGGAGAAATCATGCATCAGAGGTAACCTGAGGCCTCCTGCACGCCGAGCTAACTAGGGTGCCATGATCCAGCACTCACACCTTCTGCAATGACAACACATTTTGGAAGACTGTACAACGTCAGTGGCAGATGAAAACGGGACCACTGATTTAATTCAGGGTTGTCCCTATGCTGCACCTCACAGATCCCCTGAATGACACCCGTGGAGAGACCAAAGTTAGAGTTGGGTTTCCCAGGAAAGAAGGAAAAGCCTGAGTACCAGAGCATCTGCTGGAGCTCCCTGGGAGCAGCAGGACAGTGGGAGGATCAGACTATCCCCGCAGATATCCAGGGAGAAGGAGCCAGAAACATGAGCTCCACCTTGATGAGCTGCCCTACTTGGGAAGGTGACCCATTAGACCTCTCCAAGGTGCCAATGAGCCCTGAGCTCCTGCAAGGCGCTTTTCTTCAGTCCAGGAAACCTTCACCTGGCAGCAGGGAAGACGGTGGGGTGTCTGCTCAGCACCTGCCTGTCAACAAGAAACCAAATGCACCCCACAGTGCTCTAGTCCTTGGTTTGTTTTATGGGTGTTCCCTAACTGTTTTCTGACTATCTCCCCGTTGGCTTGACAACTGGCAGCAGTCAGTGGCTGCATTGCAAGCTCAGGATAAGATGTTTCGCAAGTTATTTCAAAGGAATCCATTCCACCCCAAATCAAATGCAGAATGTTTGCTTTGGCACCCTTCTCCCCCATCCCTCTCTGACAACATCCCGGTGCAGACCCAACGCAGAGAACTGTGCAATGTCAGCAGAATTTCCAAAAAGACACACAGCCTTTATGCAATCATAACAATTTATGACTTTGTAAATTAATTATAAAAAATAACAACCCAGCCCACAATTCAAGAATAAAGCCCTTTTTCCCTTAACAAAAGCTGCTTGCATTTCATCAAGAGCTCGGCCCTTTGGCATTAGCTGCTGCTGCTAAACCTGAGCAAGAACAAGGGTTGTTGTCACTAACCCCATTCATGACCTGCTTCAGGGTTTCCTTGGGCTCAGCCTTGAAAAGATCAAGAGATCCTGCAAAGCTGGGCAAAGTTTTCCATACCCTGCTCTCAGAGAGAGCATCAGGGAGAGCTTTAGCCACTACTGGGCCTCACATGGCTTGGTTTTACCCAAGAGTCCCAGCTTTTTTGCTTTTCCAGTGTTAATGGGGTTGTTTTTGGAGTTTATGATTACTGAGGAAGGTAAAGTGAAGGTGATCCCTGAATGTCTCAGGAAGAGGGAGAGGCTGGGTTAAAAAGAAGGAAAACACATGCATTTTTTGAAAAGGACACACTTTTCAAGTCAGCTTCATGCTTTCTTTTTTTCCTCCCTCAGTCACACTGACTTTGAGTGAGCAAGCCCAACCCTGCCCACCGCCCTTTGGAAAAAGCCGTGGATGGGCTTCCTGTCCCCTTTGAAGATCTGTCCACCCATACTCCACACTCCCATCACATTTCTCCTCCTTGCTGGAGCTGCGATATTCTGCCTGTGAACCCAGTGAAGGCATCTGCCCCATCAGGCACTGCTCCACATGTCCCTACTGTGCCACCGCAGAGGAGCCCAGCAGCCCCTGGGGAGGGAAAAGCAACTTAGTAACATGCTCAAAGACTTCCTGAAAAGCCAGAGCAACAGCGGGAGCGCTGGCAGAGCTGATCACAATGAGAATCATGGCTGTTGACAGTCCAATGTGGCCTTAATCACATCTGTCAGACAATAGCTGACACCAAGGAAAATGAGCCCTCGGTGACATTTATGCAGCACTTCATTAAGGGAGCCGGTGCAGCTCTGCAATATGAACAAGCAACAGCAGTGCTGTGCAGAAATACAGCTCCAACACCACAGGATGCTTCTGTGGCATCCACACATTGATTTTGGAAGCAGCATTAAAAAGAGGCTGACCTTGCCTCACTCACAGGGGTGTGGCATGAGCTGGTGCTTTGCTCCCAGCACCAGCCATATCAGATGGTACCCTCAGCTGCCCCTCACAGCCATCTCCCTCCTGTGATCCTGCATCCAGCAAGAATAAAACGAGCATGTGGGCACAGGCTCTGGAGACATGGCAAGAGTGAAACACTATTTTTAAATTAAACAAGACGTATCTGCATTCTTCACATCACAGGCAGGAATGATGTGACCAAGATCAAGCAGGACGACCAGGAGGGAAACCTGTTTCTTTTTGTGTACAGTAAAGCAAGCTGTGGTAAGTGAGGTGCTCCAGCTCAGGAAGGGCAGAGCCAGAGCTTCACTGGTTTAGTTTATGTAGGACAGGGGTTTCCAGCCCCTCACACACCTCCAGCAGACAACCATGAGTGCTTTAGTCTCCTCCCTTTATAAGGCAGCACAGGGCAGTGAGCTCAGACAAAGGTCCTGTGACCGTGTGAATGGCTCATGCTCAAAGTGCAAGGTTTAATCAGTCATAGGGATGTTTCTGGCTGAAGGGCAGAATCTCCATTCAAACAGCTTGATTATAATTAAGCACAAACATTCTGAGATCTTGATTTGCTGGGAAAATGCTGATTATAAGAGGAATCCAGCACTGAACATGTCCATCACCGCTGCCAGCACACAGAACTTGAGGTGTGATGGGGCCCTTGCTCGGGAGGCTCTGATACAAAGCCAGTCCAACCTCCATGGCTTCACCTTTCCACATGACAGAGTGGAAAAGGCTCCATGGTGAGAGCAAACTGAGTCTTCCCAGGTAGACTGGGCAGGCTGCACACGCACAAGCCTTTCTTTTGGGAGCCACACTTGGAAGTGACCCAGCAAGGCACATGGCTGGGAGAGGGAAACTTTATTTTATCTGCTCATGGTGACAGCAAAGGATTTATTCACTCAGGATTTACTCATTCAGGAGCAAAGCTGTGCTTTTCCAGCTGGAGGCACTGAGAGCTCTGCGTGGCTCTTACAGTGCCCACAGTAGGTTCCAGGCTGAGGATGCAATCTACAATCAAACACAAAGGTGTCTCCAGGCTGAATTTTACATTTATGCCAAGGCAGCATGAGCAGGGCTAGGCCCAGATTAGTCTGTCTAAGCTCTCAGAATGTCCCTCTCTATGGCTCTCTGTGGAGCCACAAGACCTCAGGATAGTGGGAACAAGCCAGAAGTGCTCCAGTCTGACCATAGTGAGATCAGGGGACAGCAATAACCATTTGTCTAAAAAAATTTCATCTAGAAAACATAACCTGGGAATAAAGTTTGAAAGAGCAGAGCTTGTTTAGTCTAGAGGAGAGAAGGCTGAAGGGGATATAGTAACAACCTTCAAAGGCAGAAAAAAATGCTTGCAAAGAGAAGGGAACTCATTATTCTCCAGGTCTGCTGAGTCCTGCAACTAAAGTTTCAGATTGAAGAAAACTCTTTCTGTGTAATCACAGCAGAAGGTGACTGGGCAGGCTCTGGCACTGGAATGTTTCTGTGGCACCCAAAGGCAGTGGGTGCCCAGGCACATACAGGGTGTCTCCAGATTCCTGCTCCCATGCTGCCCTGGAAGGGGTGAAGGTGGCACCAATCCTTGTCTCCTGAGGTCATTTACCATTCCAGAGCTACACCCATCCATGAGGCCCCGTCTTCTTCAGTTACCAGTATTTATGTACAGCTGTTCATACAAGCAGCTCCTTCTTAATGAAGTGTTTCATCTGGGAACACAGCTAATAACCCAAGAGAGCTGCAGTCTGGAAGAGCACACGAGGTGAGACCCCACCATGAAGCCCTGACTTTCTCCTAATGAAGAAATGTGAGAATCTGTTTCCCAAGGCCATCCAAGGGAGCAGGAGTCCTGCTCTGACCTGTGGCGTGGGATGGTGGTTACCACATCACCAAGACCATTCCAAGAGTGCAAACCCAGCTATAACATGCTGACCCCTCCAAAATCTACTTCTGCATGATGTTCTGAGACACTGAGCACACCCACTGTTGGCTGCCCCAGAGGTTCATGCACTGGAAGAGCTGTCACTGCTGCCTGCAGCACGGTGCTTTGGCCAGCAGCCGTCCCGGAGCCAGGCTGGTGCCAGCACCACAGCACACGCAGACATAGCAGGTTTTTCTGCTGCTGTTCTCCACTGCATGGGGCTGCCAGGCTCAGTATTTCACCCCGAAGCCATGGAAACACGTGCTTTTCCAATAAGCACAAGGGAAAGCTGCAGCCTGGCTGCGGGTGCTCGATATAGAACTGGAGCTAGCTGCAGCGCCATGAAAACCAAGCAGGTTTCTGGTTAACATGCAGGTTCGCTAAGAACACCCTGCACCATCCCCTATGAAGTCCATCCCCACCCCTCCTGAGAGCCATGTTTATCCCATGAACACTGCCAAGGGAAATAACACCTGAATAAGCAAAGCGACAGCACTAAGATACCCCTGGTGAGCATCACCTCTACAGCCTTGCCACAACAAAGCACTCGGAGGTGCTTCAATCCCACTGTGTGCTTTGCTAAACAGGGGCTGCAAGTTGCATTATGAATTATTAAAGCACTCAGCAAATGACAGCAGAGAGGCCACAGAGAGCACGTGGGCTGGGTGTGAGGCTGGGAATGGAGCCCCCCAAAGAGGGGAAACCAGCCCCCGTTAAATCAAACTCCCCGTGAAGCTATGCTAACACAGGGTGAGCCAGCATCCCACTGCAGGAGAGCTCCAGCCAGGGAATGCAAAATATCCTGGCACAGGATATTG